AGTCGCCAGTCGACATTGGCCGGCAGATGGAATTCGGAGGAAGCCTAATCTGTGGGATCTAATCGGTCTATTGGAGGTAATTGGCAGCAGGCGGTCTCTCAAGTACCCAGGTCCAATACCATGAAGGGCTTTATAATAGGGAGAGAGAGAGAGTGAGAACGAATGGTTAAAAGAACGAACGGTTAAAACTAGAATCAAATCAAAAATCAACGTGGTGTTTCCCATTTTGTACAACAAAAAAGTGTAGGAGGTTGGTGAATTCTTGAAGGAATGTATTACAGGTAGTCCTCCACTTGAAGGTAAAGGTCCCCCGTGCACATATGTGCTAGTCTTTCCAACTCTAGGGGGCGGTGCTCATCTCCATTTCAAAGCTGAAGAGCCAGTGCTGTCTGAAGACGTCTCATGGTCATGTGGCCCACATGACTAAACACCGAAGGCCCACGGAACACTTACCTTCCCACCATAGGTAGTTCCTATTTTTCTACTTGCATTTTTACATTATTTTAAACTGCTAGGTTGGCAGTAGCAGGAGCTCACTCCCTTACGGGGTGCGGGGTGCGAGGGATTTGAACTGTCAATCTTTCTGATTGACAAGCTCAGCATCTTAGCCGCTGAGCCACTGCGTCCCTTGTCCTCCATTTACAAACAGTTCATTTAGTGACTTTAAAGTGACAATGGCACTGAAAAAAGTGACAATTTTTCACATTTATGACTGTTGCGGTATCCCTGTGGTCCAGTGATCAAAATTCAGATGCTCGGCAACTAACTCATAGTTATGACGGTTGCAGTGCCCCAAGGTCATGCGATCTTCTGACGAGCTGATGGTGGGAAAGCCAGATTCATTTAATAACTGTTACTAACTTAACAACTATTGCAAGAAAGTTCATAAAATGGGGCAAAACTCACATAACAAATGTTTCATTTAGCAACATACATTTTGGGCTCAATTGCAGTCATAAGTCAAGAACCATCTGCATACCTAGCTGGGGGAGGAATTATGTAGGGTTGCTCTGGGTTTTTTCGAAGCATAATCTTCTCTAGCATCCTTATATATTTAGACTAGCCAATAACTCAGTGTTGCCTGAGTTATTTATAGGGGGAGAATGTCTGGATCAAAAGTAATTTCTAATGTTGGATTTTCTCCCTTACCAGAGGGAGCCCTCTTGTGGAGTACTGTGAAGCCGTTANTAAGCCGCCCTGAGTCCCCTCAGGGAAAAGGGCGGCCTATAAATGCTATTAAAATCCAAAAATCCAAATCCAAATTCAATGCTTCATAATATATTGAACGTTTATTAAATAGGTATTATCTTAACCCTTGAGAAATTGATAGAGCCATCTTTGACGGATTGTTGTATGGATATACTAGAGTCCCATCAAACTGAATAACAGCTTGTCCTTTCTCCTATAATTGTGAAGATGTAGATGGTAACAGCAGCGCAACAAATAGACAATGGATTTGTATACTTAAAAAAAATATTTGCTATATGTTTGGCAATATAGTGGAGCAGGTTCTCATGCTCTTAATCTTAGTCATTTCATTTACTTGCTGAAAAGGGATAGTGATCGCATAATCAAATTTCTCTTAATTCTGCTTAAATCTATATTGCAGAAGACAGGCGTCTTATATGTACCCTAAAAAAAAAAGCTGGATGGAATTTGATGCTGACTTGTCATGCTAAGACTCATTTCCTGTAGAACCAGAACTTTAAATAAAAGCAGATCCTCCTGTCCATCCAACCCCAGCAATGGAATCTGAGAAAGAATATGCTTACATGTGAGCTACTTGTGCAAATACCACAGCCAAAAAAATCCCTATAAAAAGAAGCCTGAAATGTTTAGATTTTTTTAGAAAAACAACTTCCATAATTATTTTAATTTTAATTATTCGCATGTATAAATATATGTTATATCTTTATAGTCAAAAACAGCCCAGTTATCATTCCAACTAATACATGGAACATATGTAATGAATCCTCATGTTTATTGAGCGGGGAATAAGCACTATGTTATTCAGATGACACTGCAGCAATTCCAGTTTTGGTTGCAAGTTAAACAAAACGTAAAAGTGATGCTTTTGAATTGTGATGGTGAAGAAAGTATAAACAAGAGGATAGAATCGGTTCCACCACAAATCCGTGAAGCCCTTATCCGCGGAGACATAAGCGCAAAGACTAATTCATACCGTTCTAAGCGCTAAGGAAA